GTTTTTAACAAAATAAAAATTTAGATATTTAAATACGCACACACACACACACACACACACACACACACACACATATACATACATACATACATATATATATATATATACCTGTGTTCACTTTACTTCCACATGTGTCACTAAAAACTTGAGGGTGTGCGTTTTGGAAAACATACAAGAACCAAACTAAACTAATATGAATAATAGAGTATGTTAGTATCATTATATAACTCATAATGTATCAGAGTTGCATCATTTGAAAAGCTTTGATGTTAAACTGTGAATATTTTCAGCTCAAATCTCACACTTCATTTGATGAGAGAATACAAAAGACATGCAGACACAGTGGGAGGTGTTGGCACCGGCAAGCGTCCTAATAATTTACTTTTATGGGGAACCTGCCAGAAAATATTAATATTTGCATTTAATGGGCTTAAAGCACAGTGCCTCGGGGGATTTAACAAAACCCTTTGCTGTTTGAAAGGGTGCTGGGCAGTTTGGCAGTTGGTGAGTGTGTGTGTGGGTGTGTGTTTTGTGGTTAGGAGAAACTAGGGCTCGCAAGTGTTTAGTTACATCAAAATTATAACAGGAGATTTGATGGAATTGTCCAAATCACTTAAAATTAAACGAGGACTTTCTCTAAAGTGTGAGAATGTATTGATTTTTATTTAAAGCTGCACAAATCAATATTTTATATGAACAATGGCTCAAAGGAATATGTGTAATGTGACAGGTGTTGGTTCTACAGATGAACAACCCACAGCTTTTTAGCCTCTTGTACTTTTAGTTTTCAGGACCGTAAACTCTGCTCTTATGGACCCCATTTCCAGTCGCAGCAGACTGCTTTGATGAGTCTACTGTACACTACCTGCTCAGCACCAAACCACAGGCAAAGTTGGTGGCTAGCTGGTGAATATAGTGGAGCATTAACCAGCTAAAGAGCCAGCAAGTTTTTGGAGACCAAAACTAAAGCATAGCATATCTAAGTACAAGGAAGGGGAAAGTTGCCCGAGGCTTTCTAAACTGTTATTTGAGCACAGAGCAAAAATGGGCGGGGCTTTGCTGCCTCTCTTCAGCTCCAGCTGTCTTCATTCTGCTCAGAGGAATATGATTGTTTAGTCGTGGATGCAGCTCAGACCAAGTGCTCCGTGTTAGTGTGAGACTTGAGGTTGTTATGTAATTGTCCTGAAGCTGGGTTCATTTTGGGGTTACCAACACAGGCACACATGGTTGGAATTGTTTTCTAAAAAACCTTGTGTCTGTGTGTTTTCTGTGTGTGTGTGTGTGTGTGTGTGTGCAACCTTCTAGGCTGACCTCTTTTGTGATGAAGTCCTTCGGCGGGGCGAGACCGTACATCTTCGTCCATAACAAGCACATTAAAGATGCCAAGAGGTGGCTGTCCAGAAACCAGCGCCCTGACGGCTGCATCCGATCTGTGGGGAAGCTCTTCCACAACGGCATGAAGGTAATGGCATCAGTTTGAACAGGGACATTTTAGAAGGGACTACCTGGTTTCACATCTTCTGTTTTGGTCGTTTGGAGAATTTTTCCTATAACACAAACTCACAGAATAGCATAGAGTTTCTGAGGGCTGTGTGTGTGCGCAGAGAGCGGAGAATGCCCCCACCTGCCTGCAGGCAAGCTGCGCACACTCAGCGGAAGAAATTTCCCAAACAAATTATTGCTAGCCAGTCCCTCTCAAACTACAGCATCTCCTGAAGACTAACAGCAAAAAGCCATGACAAACATATGCTCTAGCAGTGAGCAAGGTACCCTATTCTATAAACAGCTGTGTAGAAAAAAGCAGGCAAAAGTACAGGCCGAGTACTGTGGACTACTTTCTGAGCCTTTCCTGATAATATTGGCTCTTTGGTACATGCTTGAATTGCGCAGTGTAGAACAGACAGGTGTGTGTTTCATCCTTGTGTTTATTTTCTCAGACAAGGAAAGAAGAAACAAGCTGAACTGTGCTCAGTCTTGTTCAGTTAAATTGAATGGTAAATGGTAAATGGAC